TAAACATTTTCACTAAGAAATCACGAAATTCTGAAAAATGCTTCCCTAGGATGTGCATGTTTGCTGTGTACTCCAATGTAGTCCTCCCACATCAGTCAAACGACATTGACGCTGCAGTGTGAAATTAATGATTTTCCAGGACTCTAAAATGTGCCATTAATATGCATCCAACTCGCCTCTTCCCTGAGCTCAGGGTTTGCTGTCCTGACATTGCCTGCACGTTTCTACACCCACTTGCATTTTTCCAGCCCATGGGCAGCTCCACAATTAAATGCCACATTCACCAGGAGAAAAGGTGTGCAAAACAGATTTCAGATCCTTTAAAGTAAAACTCAGAACTTGAAACACAACAAGGAATGGGGTGATTTAAGAAATTACAGCACTGTTTTCTTAAGCTTTCAGAGAATAAACACAGAGCATGGGAGGGGAACTTTCTCCCTCTGCTCCTGTTCTAGGAGTGAATACATATTTGTGTTTCCAATAAAAGGCCATTTTTACATTAACTGTCTGTAACAGCAGGAGACAGAAAAACTCGCACAATCGCCACATCACACACAGGAGGATCTTCATATCACGTGGCCCTATTCTCCAAACTATTATTTATAAAAGACAACTAGGAAAATGCACAATGCATCTTTTCTGTGTCACCGAAAGGAAACTGTCTGCAGAACTTGGGATCTTTGGCTCTTCCACCTTTTAGATTTTTCTTTTTTTCCTTTTTGGCTTTCCGAAGTAAATTTAGCAGCCATGTGGGCCACTGTGTTTAATTAAGCTTTCAAAAGTCCTCTGACAATGCCAACAATTGTAAGACACTTCTGCGGCTCAATCATGCAATCACTGTGACAGTTCTATTTACAATTTGTCTTAGAGTTTCTCTGACATTGCACTTTGACAAAACATCCAAGCTGCCAGTTCACAACCTTTCTCTGTCTTATTTACAAATACAGCTTGTATGTAGGGCTCCCAGTCCCGTGAACATGAGTCTTTGGGTAGTGGCCTCACAAACATAGGCTCCCAGAGAAAATCCTAGGTGTTTAGTAGGAAACTATATTCTCTAGTCTGTGGATTCTGAAGGCAAATAAAAATGTTCATCAGTATATTGGGGGTTATTTGTTGTTGTTTAGCTGCCATACGACTAAAAATTCACTTCAGCAGTCGGTGGTTTTTATTCAGAATCACACAAATAAAGAAAAATGAAAAAATAAGGAGTCGTAATACGATACTATCGTTTATAGTCTCATTTACAATTACACTGTAAAGTATACAAATACATCCTCCAGTTCAGTCTGAGCTGGCATGGGGCACAAAGAGAAAAGGCAAGTTGATTTTCTAAATTCTGAAAAGCATGAGCATGTTCTACTTGATTTACCTTTAAGTAACGTGCTAATGTATTTCTGTTCTGAATGAGTAGTTCTCCCTTCATTAGGGTATCTGTCTTACATAGTATTATCTAGATATGAAGTGTAGGCAAATAATTGTTACATACCCTGATTTAAGTGTCTCTCTTCATGATCGTAAGGAGGAAAATAAATGTTACATATCAATAGTAGTAGACTTTACTCAATTTTGTAGGATTTGTCATATTGTCTCCCATTCTCTCTCAAAGAAAAAAAAAAAAACTATGTTTATGATAGCCCAATCCTAATTTAAAGATTTCTATGTGCAACAAACCCAAACCTCAAATCTGATATGTAGGATAATATTTTTTGGCCTTTTCTATAACTGAACAGCAGTTTTACATTCACTAATCTCCAATTAATATTTCCCCATCATAAAATATGAGACTAGAAAACAAAACCAACCCCCCTATTAAGAGCCCTGGCTGCCAGTCAAAGGGCTGCTGATATCTGATGGTAGATATTTGACACACAAACTGGTGAACTGGGCCCCACACAGTATAACCTGCTCATTTCCAGTTACATTAACACCATTTCAATGGTCTCAGTGAATCACAGTCACACAATCTTTTGACTATTTGAATAAAGTGAAAAAAGCAACCTGATCAATGTATACGTGTGTAGGTAAGACGTGTACATGGGTGGAGTGCTGGGCACATACCCATCTATTCACCAGGTAAAAATTATCCTTTCTAAAAACATACTCAGCTTTGAGAGGCCTATGTACAGTCAAAATGAATATCATTTTACTGAAGATTTAAAGAACTCTATCTTATTCTCCTATTTGAAAGCCCTGAATTTTTAAGCTTTATTTATCTCAGTAAGATCTGTCGCTGTTTTATTCCTGCTTCCTGCCTATAAAATGGCCCAGAGCACACAGTGAGCTCAAATCCAACTTACATCACTTTAATAAAGCCTTTCCTACACGGCGCACTTAAATGACTACCTTTTATGTGGTTGCCAAACATATTCTTCCAGAGATTCATCAATACATCTCTTTCCCAATACAGAGCGTTGCTTCTCCTTTATTTTTGTGACACGATTCAAATATCTACTGAATGATTACTCTTATTGTTTCCTTCCTCGCCATAAAAAGAGGAGCAGACTTGGAATTGTGAAGACGTGCTTGAGAGAAATGGGCTGGGAGTACACAGCTGTCTTCCAGAACTTCGCTTCAGAGGCACCTGAGGGCCAGGGCATCTTAATTTATGTGCAATAGCAGAATGTTAATTTCACCATAGGAAACTCTTAATTCATTACTGTGAATTATGAGAAGTCGTGATGCTAGCTACTGACACCTCGCTTTGAGATGTGACCATGCTATTTATGTTCAGCCAATTCCAGGGTGGGAACAGGTGATTAAACACAATGAAATGGAATCAAGGCTTTGTAATTATTCGTGCATGCAAGGTTTACCTCACCTGGGTCGAAGCACTTGTGCACCCATCATCTCAGTGAAATTATTTCATATTGGACCTATAAAATATATTTTAAACTTGCCCTTTTTTTTTGGCTTCTCTGGGCTCTGTTATTGTACTACTTCTTGGAAAAAATAATAATAAAACCTTTATGACAACCAGAGAGTTAAGGAACATATCTTTTCTTTCCCTGCATAGATTCACAACTATAACAGCAAAAAGCCTTTACTGCAGGGCCCAGCTTTCAGAGTCCTCCTCCAAGTACAGAAGCACAGAATTTTCGAGCTGGTTAATCTGAGACTGAGTAACCTATCTGGGACCTCAGTAAGAAGTGTGGTTTTAATTCTTGCTTGACAGACACTGTGTTTTGTCTTTTAAACGGGCAGCTCAATATGTAAATACGATGTTACATCACGCAAGTGTTACTCCATATTTGGTGATTTAGAAAGGCTTTGGATCTCCAAAGATGACAAATCCCCTTCCGCTTGCTCTTGCTTCATTAATCATGCCTTACACTTCTGTTCATTTTCCTTCCAGTCACAAGACAGCACATGGAAATGGTCATTGCTGTATCCTACTGGGGGGTGGGGGGGGAGCCCCCGCGGGGGATAGAATCTTAACCTACCCGTCACATAAGCTCAACCTTGTGGATTCGAGAAAAATATTTTGTAAATGCAGCTTCTCTGGGAGCAGATTTCTCATTTCACTGAAGGAAAAGTATCTGAATACTATTGCAGGACGCATTTAAAAAGAAAGAAAGGAAATGCCATGTTTGATTTTAATGGCCAAATTCCAGAGGGGGAGAGAAGAAATAATATGACATTTAATCCCCTCTGGACCACTGACCTACTATAGTTCAACTTTGTGGTCAAACTAGGTCAGAGAGACCAGTTACAGTGAATCAATTGATTATATGCACTATCTTTCCTAAAACTGAACAAATCTCTTATCTTTGGGGGAGGGGACAGGGGAAAACAGAGGAAAATGATCCACCGACAGGCAAGCCATTTTTGTCACCACAGAATCTGCATTCAGTTTGTCTTATGTGTTAAATCACTGTTGTTTCACACAAATGCTTTAAGGGCCACTATATAGTGTTGTGTTTATCTCTTAGAGCAGGGATGGAAGTCCCTCTGCTAGCTGTTAATTCCTTTTCCCTTGAGCTGCTGAGAAACCCACACACCTAGTTACCTCTCTGCTAAAATTAACCAAAGGAAGGAGAGCTGCTGAATGTATTGTGCCTCTTTTTCTGAGAGAATTTTTATATTGTGTTACAGCAGAAACAGTGGAAGTCTGGACTGGACATTTGTAAGGGTGACATGTGGTTGTGTAAACCACAAACAAAATCAAGATACATCTGTCAAAACCACATCAGAGACAAGAGAGAGCACAGAGAAGCATTTATCATTTAGCTGAGGAGGCAGGCTGCAGGGAGCAGCCGTTCCTGTCAAACCAACCTTTTGAAATTTCCAACATGCCCTTAAACTTTTCGAGTAAGCATGTCTGTGCGCTTCAGCAACTGCCCTCTCTACTCTGGCCTGGCCAGTCGAAAATGGCATCTTAAAGTCAAGGTCACGGTGTCATCCCACCACGGGGCTGTGTTTAATTACAGCCCCATACGGGCTGACAGCCAGTATGGATCCAAGGCTAGCCCTGAAGCTCAGTTAACTCTTTCCACCCCCTCCAAAAATGCCTGTCAGCCCAGCCCACTTCGTGGAGGCCCTGAGAACCAACGGCAGCCCTGGGAGGTCTGACCAGGTGGTCTGACTCAAACAGGTCACTGGCCCAACTACAGATGCCTACATGCCCACATTGTCTCTGACTTGTTCCCCCAGGCTGGAAAGGGACACTGGAAACTGAGCTGAGTGTAGTAAGACTCAACACTTAAAAATGAGAAGGGAAGAAAAGAAGGAAAGAAATTCAGAATCGGTAGATCCAGAGAGAGGGTATCAGGTGTGTGTACCGATTCCACCTACATCTGACTCAGTGAAGTGGAAAATATTTATTTTTATATTGTGTCCTGGATGTCAGCAATTGGAATGATTATTTTAACATTACAGGCTGTCATGGACAGTCACATGGAGAAATACAGAAAGCACTCCACCACTCCTCAGTGCTTGGCTACAGCACCTCTGAAAATGAAAAGAAAACATGCAAACAGCTTTTCTCCTTGCTTCTCATTTACCTGCTATGTGTTCCTGTTTGGGGCAAATTCCTCTAGATGACGTTGATAAACAATCGTCATCCTCTGGCGTGACCTGGATGCCAACCTCCACAGGATTGGATGCTTTTTTCATCTCGATTGGTGAAGGGGAAGGTGGCTTATCCACAGCTTTTTCTAAGCAGAGGCTGCCATTGCATTGTTTCCGTTTGTGCTCGATAAAAATAAGAATGTCCCCCAATGGGAAGTTCATCTGGCACTGCCCACACGTGAGGAGGTCATGGTCCCCTTCTGGAGCTCCCAAAGGGCCGTGGTCTGGTTCATCATCAGTAAGAATGGCTTCAAGAGGTTCGGCTGTGGTGGGAGAAACAAAAGCACAATTATTAGAGGGCCAGAAAGGAGAGAAAAGGCAGAAATACATTATCAACCCCATCCCATCCTACCACATTATGTAAAGTATTTCTAAGCTCTTCCTTATAAATCCCAGAAAATGTGAACACCTAAAATGTACAAAGCTGTGGAGGTGGTCAGCAAGAAAGCAAATTTATCAATGAGGTAAGTCATCATATATTTAAAGAAATCATCCTATGTTTAAAATCGAACTTGGAAAACTCCAGAAATACACACACACATAATACAAATGTGTCTGGTTTGTGAGTTTGGGAAGAATGCGACTATTAAATAAAGTTAAGGCAGGGGACATAAAGAAAGCTTTCCCCCCCCCCCCCACATACTAAGTTGTCTATTGTTTCAAAGAATAAAAGAAGAGGTGAATAAAAACACACACCCTTTGTGTGTGAATATATATACTCCTAAGTTACACAGAGACATAGCTTCATAAATTAGAAAGCTACTACATCACACAGAAAATGTGCCACATTTACACCACCGTATTAAGAAAACGACTGCATTCACCTGTGAAACGGATCTAAATAATAATCATAACGCAGCATCATTCACTCTGCCAAAAACCGTCCTGATCTCACGTTCAGCAGTGCCACAAAATCAAAGAAATACCAAATTCACTGGCAATTCTTCTCAGACACATTAGCTAAATGGGATACTTTTGAGTACTTAAGAAAATAAGCCAATTAGTCATTTTTCATTCTGAAGAAAGAACGCCTAAAATATCCTAAAACATGTTTGTACTTGGTGGCCTCCATCACATAAAAATCAGAATGGTCAAGCAAACGCCACATTGCAGAACAACGCTGAGAAGCCCTTTCTTTAGACTTGAAATACTTTGCCTCATGTTGTCAAAGTTGACTAATTTTCTGAATGAGCTCTAAAACGCTTCATTATGGGACTATTTCTGCACACATAATCACCAGCGATGGTATAACAAGGTAGATACGTCTTTTATTCCTGTTTCCTTTTTTTAAAGAAACGCTTTGCACCAAAACACTCCAGCATCTATTGGAACAGTTTCTACTACTGTTTAACCTTCCAAAGGGGAAAAGAGAGTTGGTAAGTCTCTGCTTCTGAAACCTTATGCTTACGCCATTAAAAAGAAAAATCATAAAATACAAAACACTTCCAGGATGCTGCCAGTTAATAAAACTGAAGCAGAAAATGTACAAGTCTTAAACAGTTAATCAGTCTGACCTTCTTTAGCAAGCTGCCAATTTCACATTTAATGAACTTAAAGCCACAGAGAATCAAAAAATAGATTTTAATTTGAGTGTAGAATATTGGAACAGATTTTGATAAAGTGCAAAAATCCAGTGAACTCAGGTTAAATTTATTTCAACCCTACCCAGGCTGAATATTGAGGGGGAAGATCTGGAGTAACTCCCAGATGTGCTGGGTGAAATAATATTGAGAGAGCCCTGCCTAGCTGCACCTGTGCTCAAGTAGGACATGTCATAATTTCTAGCCTCTGGTACTCCTCCTAATTTAACATAAGGTCATCACAGGAATATGAAGGTTATATTCCTACTAATAAAGGCAGCGAGGTGAGCACTTATGTTTCTTTGCCCAACATACTGACCAAAGGATAAATACAAAATACACATGAATACTTCTCAAATAAAAAGAGACAGACGGAAGTGCTTATGCATTATGCCTCTATGTCATTTTTCTCCTACATTTGCTTTCATTTTGACCAAGTGAGGAACTGAATAGAGAAGTCATTGTCCCAGATCCCTGCTATTTGAATTCAGAATTTTAAGTACACATGGACAAATGGGGGGTTTTTGTTGTTGTTGTTTTTCAGCATTGACTACCAGTTCTGAGGTTTACAGACTAAAGAAAGATTCAGGAAAAATAATTTTATCAAAGTTAGTAGTACATAGACCCTTGGCAAAACACACACACACAAAAAACCAACAACAACACTTTTTTTTTAAACGCCACCGTTAAGATTCTTTTTCTGTGCCCAAGGCCTGACACATTTCTGAAAGCGGAAATATTTAGGAGTAAATGGAAATATTCTCCTAGGTAGCAAATAGTTAAAGGTAATGCGGTACAAAACAGACTTGGTTAAAGTCTTCTGAATGTAGTGACTGAACTGATTTACAATCAAAACCAGGAAATGAAGTGGTAATTCAGAGGTTGCTGATTACACCTCCACATTTCACCTAATTAATTTTATAGGAGGCAAAGTTCTTGAAAATAACAAGATGATCAAATGTACAGATATAAAACCTGTAACCTCAACATTTTCTATGCTCTTAACATAAATTATTGCTAATTAACAAGAATTATATCCTAATGTATGAAATAATGTTTAACATCAGGCTCCCTGCAAAACATTTGCTAGTGATGTTCGGAAAAATACCAATACGTGTTCTTATTATTGCTGCTATATTATTAAAAATCAGACGGAGTGGGGCACAAAGAAAATATGAAAATACAATTCTCTTGGTGTAGTCTACTGATTTGCATTGACATCTTTTCTCAGTGGCAATCAACATTTCCTTTCTGGGCATCAGATAATTTCTCTGTATTTTAATGCAAATTCCTCTTACCCTAAAAATATTCCTAACCTCAGCCATTTTACCCCCTCCTTCAATTCAACTCCATCCTCCTTCGCCCCCACAATACCATCCTTTCTGAGCTCCGGCCTAAGCTCTGGCTACAAAGCGGGGAGTCCAGGATTGAAGTGGAAGGGAGTGGGCAAATAATCATAATAATTAGCGCGAATTCTCTACAAGAGAAAGAAATAGAAAATAAAATGCTTCTGCGTTCAAACAGCAAGACAGACTGAAACGTCTCAATGCCCCAGCGGCTGACTGAGAGATCTTTCCTTTTTCTGCTGTTGCAAAGGAATAAATTTAAATTAAAAAAAAAAAAAAAGCCTTAGAAGAAATATAGGGAATGAGCGAGGGAAACTAGGGCTGCTGGGGAGGGGGAGGGGAAAAGAGATCTGCCTTCAAGTTTGCTTTCCAAGTCCTTCCCTTTGATTGTCTTAACAGGGTAAGGAAGCAAACCGAGACTGAAATGCCGAGAGGAAAAGCAAAGAAACAAAAGCGAAGGCAGGGGCGACAGACCCGGGGCAGGGGGCCCGCGGGGGCGGCCGGTGCAGAAAGTGAAGTTGGGTGCAGGGACTCTGAGGCACAAAGCGAGCAGCAGGCTGCTGCAGGCTCCGGCCGCGCTCGCCGCGAACACGTGCAGCGGCGGCGGCGGGGCCATGGGGCCGGGGGCCGGGGGCCGGGAGGCGGCGGGCAGCCAGGGGCCCCGACTGCCGCCTGCACGCCCCGCCGGAAGACAAGATCCCCGGGCCAGCCAGTTGGAAGAAAAGGCACGTGAGGCTTAAAAATCTCGGGTGGTTAACCTGGTGCAGTCTCGGCAACACCGCACACACCTCAAGCGCGGCTCCAGAAATTCATGTTGTGTCCAAAGACTCACACTTGACTTTGGGGGGAATCTCAGCAAATGCATTTTCTCCTGCAATTCCGGCACCGGTGCGCGCAGCGCGGCGGCGGCTGCGGTTATTCATTATTAATGACGCTGCTTGCCCGCATCATTATGATGATAACTATTACTATTGTTGTGATTTCGGGCTCCTAAGCGAGAGCGGCAGGAGGCGGGGGAGCCGGGGGTCGGGCTGCAGAGCCGCTCTGCGGTGGCCGCAGCGGTCCGTGCTTGGAGCGGGGGTGAGGGTGGGAGAAGTGAACCGGGAGACTAAGTACAAACTTGCCCGATCCCACCCTCTGGCCCTGCCGCGAAGCCGGAGCGCGCACTCCCCTCTCCTCCCTACCGACGTTGCCCGCCCCGAAAGAAAACGAGAACTGCACCCCGCTCGGCTCTCGGTGCCCGGGGATGTCGACGCACTGGGGTGCTTTCTCCGCAGCCCTGGCCTGAAGCCTTCTTAAAGTCAAAACGAAGAACAAAGACATAAGGGGTGATGGGGGGGAGAAATGGAATTCTGCCTAACCGTCCGTTTCCCCCACCCCCACCCTAGCAAAGCTCTTCCCTCCCCGGCAGAGAAACGGAGAGCAGGGGGTGGGGGAGGCTCTGGTACAGGTTCAAGTTCGCTGAGCTTTCTTGATCT